CCAAGCACAAGAACTGTGAAGAGAACTAAAACTACACCAACACACCACACAGCCAAGTGACCCAAAACCAGCGATAAAAGTGGCATCTTCAAGCCAGCCAGAAGGAAAACGCATGTTTTGTACAGAGCAGCATGGATGAATGACCACAGACACACTTCCGTCAGAAGCAAAGCTCTGCAGAGACGGTGGAGGCACAGCTGTAAAGTACCAGAGGAGAAACTGTCCATCCTGAGTTCCGTACCTGGCAAAGTAATGTATATGTGTGTCTGTCTGTCTGTCTATCTATCTATCTATCTATTAATGAAGGGGAAGTAAAGATGTTTCTCCAAACACTCAAGAGCTAAAAGAATGCATCAGCGCAGACTTGCACCATGAGAACTTTAGAGACAGTCCTTCAGGCAGAAGGAAAATGGCACCAGATGGAAATGTGGGCCTACAAAGAGCATCAGAACATAAGCAAACGGGGCACGGTGCCAAGTGCCAGGGAAGGGAAGAAGGAAAACTGTCTTTGTGCACAGATAACATGATTGTCCATATAGAAAATAATAGGCAATCTACCAAAAAACTGAAGCTACTTGTACTAATATGTGAGTTTAGTAAGGCTTCAGGGTGCAAGAATAATATACAATTGTATATTTCTATATACTAAGAATAATCAATTAGATATTAAAAATTTTTAACCAGTATCATTTCAGATAGCATGAAAAATGGGATTTGACCCCCCAAATGTGAAACTTGTACCCTAAGAACTGCAAAACATTGCTGAGAAAAATTAAAGAAGACCTAAATAAATGGAGAGACATAGCATGTTCATGGATCAGAAGACAACGTTGTTGAGATGTCAATTCTCCTAAATTATCTGCAATTTTGATCAAGATCATTGCAGGCTTTTTTATAGCAACTGACAAAATAATTTTAAAATTCATACGGGAATGTGAAAGACCTAACACAGCCAATACAACTTTGAAAAAGAAAAACAAAATTGGAGGTCTGACTAACACTACCTGATTTTATGTTGTATAATAAAGTTTTAAAAGTGTTATAAAGTTACAGGAATCAGGACAGTGTGGTTTTAGTGTAAAAACAGACAAAGATTGATGGGCATAATAGAGAATCCACAAACACACACACACACGTACAGGACACTGATTTTCAGCAAAGGTGCAAAGGTGGTTCAGTGAAGAGAGGATCGTCTTCAGATGGTGCCAGAACACTTGGGTGTCCACGTCCAAAGCAAGGCGCTTTGATTCATACCTTGTACCACACGTGAAAATTAACTCAAAGTGGCTCATAGACCTAAATGTAGGAGCTAACACCATGAAACTTTCAGAACACACAGGAAAATACCTTTGTGACCTTAGGTTTGGCAGTGATTTCTCACATATGACACCCAAAGTGTGACTCATGTTTTGTCCTGCTGAGCCCATGGCTAGAATTGCCCCAAAAGTGTCAGTGTGGAGTTCCCACACAGGAGCACCCCAAACTGTCCTAGGTGGAGCTGGCTGGGGTTCCAGACACACTGGACGCCAGGGGATTGGTCCAAGCAT